CTGACGGGAGCTGTGCTCCTGTCAGGTGACGAGACCCTACCAGACCATGTCCAACCCGCTCAGCAAGCTGTCCGTGCTCAACAGCGCCCACACGCACTTCATCCTGGCCGACAACGGCACGCTGGGCCGCTACGGCGCCGAGGTGAAGCTCCGGCGGCAGCTGGAGAAGCACATCTCCCTGCAGAAGATCAACACACGTGAGTCCTGGCCACGGCCACGGCCACGGCCACGGCCACGGCCACCCAACCGCCCGGTGTGTAAAGCCTAAACCGTGTCCCTGTTAGATCCACAGAAGATGACTTGATTTGACCCTCTTTCTTTTTTTTAAAAAAATATATTTTTATTGATCTCAGAGAGAGGAAGGGAGAGAGAGAGAGAGAGAGAGAGAGAGAGAGAGAAACATCAATGATGAGAGAGAATCGTGGATCGGCTGCCTCCTGCACGCCCCACACTGGGGATCGAGCCCACAACCCGGGCATGTGCCCTGACAGGGAATCGAACCATGACCTCCTGGCTCATGGGTTGACGCTCAACCACGGAGCCACGCCGGCCGGGCTGTGGCAGGGTTTCTGTGGAAGACAACCTGGGAAAGGAAGGTCAATCAAAGGGACTGTGAGGCTGACAGCTCGGCTGGGGCGGCCGCCATGAGCCGTGGTGGGTTTCCGAGAACCGGATCTCCCGGACGCACGGGCTGGCGACGGGATGTCCTTCTCCCGTGTTTGGATTCTTGCGGACTCGCACGCTCACGCCGCCGGCTCCACGCGGCCACGGGACTGCTGGGCTTCCCTTTGTCATCCTTTGCCTCGGGCTCGGAGCGGGGCAGGGACGGCAAAGGGGTGCTCAGCTGTCACCTCTCCCGGCGCAGAGCTTCGGGGGGCGGGGGGGGGTCCAGCCTAAACCACGAGGAACGAATTCCACCGTTTCTAGAGGAAGAAGGTGACTTGGCTGCCATATTCCTGCCAAGCCGATCTTGGGCTGGAAGACTCAAAGGCAGGGTGGGGCCATGTCATCTGGGTCCATTTTAAAATATATATATATATTTTATTGATTTCTGAGAGGAAGGGAGAGAGAGAGAGATAGAAACATCAGTGATGA